ATATTTCTATGGGATTATTATGGGATTCCTGGAGGAATTCTTTGAGATTCTTATGGATATTTTTTGTAATATGCCGGACACGCCGGCAGCCATCTTCGATCTACCAGGCCTTAACTATTATTGTAGGAACCCCATTGTGAACACTCTATTGTTTGGGGAAATATCTCCAAGAATACTTTGAAACCTAAAAGAAACCAACGCTATCCAAAGCTTTTGGAATTCCTTTCCCTACAATTCCCCGAATTATTGGCCAATATGAAATATCAAAAGGTGTGCTCGCAAGGCACTTAGCAGGCTTAGCAGGTTGTTTATTGGATTTCAGGTCTTATCAAAAATCTGTAGCTTCGCGTTGCTTTTCACTTTTCTGAATGCAGGAACGTGATCTTCTGGGACCAAGCTGTTCCTTGACCATGTTTGTTCATCTCCTTCGGCTGCTTCGATCTCCAGTCCTCACATGGGTGATCTGCCATGTACTAGTGCAGCCATTTCGAGGTTTGGAACATCTAGAAACATATGTAGAATATTGTAGAATCATTCGCCATTCTGCCAACCTTGCTTAGCTTAAGGTTGCTTTTCTGTTGACCTTCATCGACATCAAATGCAAAAAGCGTGAAAGCATCACGCTGAGTTCAAAGCCTGATTAGGCCAATGGCCTTTCTGCATCCTCAATGACATAGGCTTGTGGAAATGGCCAATTTATAGATGATTTTCCCATTAAAACCTCCATTTATAAGGGTTTTTCCATGGCTATGTTAAGTAACCAGATGATAATTCTTCCATGAAAAAGGATTAAAAAGAGGTATCCTTCCTAGATTGGCCTGCAAGAGCCAGAACACGTTAATGTCCATGACTATAATATCACTATCATATTCACAAAAACAAGGTAATCCCTGAGACGACATTTCTAGTCTGAGAGCCTGGCTACAACATAGCCTGGAGAAACAAGGTCGACTCTCAGTGTGATCGATCATTGAAACTGCTAGGGTCCTTTAAAATAAAAACAACACGCGAAGGAAAGGTTAGGAATCCGAGAAAATACTCACATCACAGAAACTTATCAATACCCTTCTAAGACTTCAGACGTTTGCCAGGCAATCAAATATTACAGAGGTTACAGGAAGTCACTAGCAGTGCAGTTCATGAGGGTGGTTGATAATATTTAAGTTTGCCAGTTCCAGTCTGATGGATTTCCTTATCGCTATAAATGCGAACGTTTTTGCTGATACCCGTGTCCGCTGTCTTTTCTCGTTTTACCTGCTCAATTAACCCTATCCATTTTCTTGATTTCTGTTTACCTTTCAGCACTGTTCTTCTTGTCATGTTTCTATTTGGTCCTTGCCTTTCTTCTGCTTTTCAATCGACTTTTCCTTAACGATGTCTCTTGTTGTTTGCATTGCTTGTTTTAGTTTCTTTTTCCTTCTTGCTTGATTTGTTCGTAAACAATGAGAGACAATCATCGAACGCGGCCCTCACAACTCTTCTGCAAAGTTGATATTGATGTGCATCTCTAACTGCAGAAATCCACATAGGATTACCTAGAGAGGCACTTGCTTCTTTTGATGACTTTCAAGCGGGTTTTAAGAGTACTATATTTCAAGTCTGCGTTTCCATACCGAAACCTACCTGAATCTGTTACAAGTTCAGTTGTTCTCGCGAAAGAAAGTACTCCCAAACTGTACTGACCAAAGCATCAGCTTGATTGAGAAGTTGCTGGTTGTAATATCACTGAACTGCTAAGAAGTTGAGGCTCTGAGCGATTTGGTTTTGGGTTCAAAGTACAGTACTGCTAAATGGAAATCATATGCTGAAGACAAGATAGGAACAGAATATATCATATCATTATATACTGTATATGATACACTAACATAATCTATGCGTCAAGACAAGCACTGCGGCACTAAGGCAAGTGCTCTGATCTTTAGATGGTCTAAGGGCTTTGTTCTGACATCGTTTGGGAATACAGTAGGTGAAGTTCGATACAAGATATCTGGTATGATTAAACAGTATGACAGTCGCCAACCAAAAAGGCTCCAATTCCAGCAAGCCTGCCGCATCCTGCCGCTATCCTTCTACTGGCTCATTCCCTTGGTGTTCCTTCTTTGGTACTGAACTACATTACGACATTCTGACAGAAGTTTATCCATTGCAACGCAGCTGTTTTCAGTTCCTGGAGTTCACAGCTCCGCATAACCAGGCAGTCATCCCTTCCATGTTGCTGCCTCCACTGTATCCCATGAGTCACTTGTGACTACGCTCTGGTCATCAAACATGGCTGGAAAACTTCCTATGTCGATGATTTTCCAAAACCTCCATGTCTAGGTCCTGTTACAATATGTTACTAACTGTTACAACATTTTCTCATTCAAAGCTGCATTTTGGATACTTTCCATGTCCCATGGCAACAAACCTTTACGAAGCTCCCGTGGCCCCGACTGATACAGCAGGCACCTCCGCTCGAAGCCAAGTTGTAATCCTGCTGTTGAACTTTTAGGTGATTCGGTGATTCTGTTTCACATGACGGAAGTTTGTAATATACTTTATAACATACGAATATACATGTTACATATAATTACACAGTCATATGTATAAGTATATGTATAACAATTCATTATAAACATAGACTACCCCGATGTATAATAACAGGTTTGGTCAATTTTAATATGAAAAAAGCTTGCGCCTCATTCAATCTCATTCTGTGTTCCTCAAGACATTGCAACGGTGAAGATTTGCACGCTGCACCGGCCTGGGTAAGAAAGCCACCTCCCTCCGTAGGTGAGACCTCCACCACCACATCCTTTGGCAAGGATAGCTTCCAGGCCTGCGATGCTTTGACAGTCATCCAAGCTTTGGGGAAAGATGGGGAAAACAACCCTCCAGCCGACTCCAGCCTCTTCTAAGGGAAGCCTGGGCATCTGTCAGAAAAAGCATGCCAAAATTCTACTCAAGTCGCTTGAAATATTTGCTTGAAAACAACATCATGTTGGCCTAGGCTGGCGAGTCGGCATGTTCATTCACAGGGGGGTTTCCGAAATTTGAACCAGTCTTTCACCTTCAGGCTCGTCAGAGCAAGCTTAAAAGGGCCCTCAAACAAGTGTGTCATAATTCCTGCGGTACAGCTAGAGCAATGCATTGAATGCAGTAGCGCAAAAAATTGGAGTTAAACTTTGAGTTGCCGCTGTTTTTTTGCAGATCCGCCAAATTGCAGCCAAATCACCCTTTGAAATAAGATAGAAGCACCTGCAAAGTGGTGATGTGACTCACCTGGCCGTGGCGGAAAGCCTGCTAAAATCCAATGCTACATCAATAATATTCCCCACAAAACAAAACAAACTAAAACAGCCATTTGTCAAATAATATACACCATTTTGAGACCCGGATCTGTTGTCAATGAGTGATGTGTTTTTTCAGCTACTCAATGGAACTTTCGCATTTTTACTTCCAATCTGCAGGATCATCAGAACGGGGGGATACACCCATTCTATGGCAGTTTTAATGTGACAAAGGTAATAAAAAAGGGAATCCGCGGGATTTGGGGCAACCGCCTATTGCCTCATGCAAGGGGGGCGCCCATCCATTTCACTGAGTTCCAGACTATAAGCACGGGATGAGTGCACATTTCTACCTCAATGAACAAACTCTGACTACGTGCACTGCGAAGGGAATTTGTGTTGATATCCTTTCGTATCATGTGATGTACTGAAAATAGAATGAATTACATGTATTGTATATATTCTTACATGTTTTGTATATTGCTAAATAAATATATTATATATATATAATATTACAGTATTGCCATGTAACAATGTAACAATGTCAAGTCATGCCATTTTTGTGGCCATGTCCTTCTATGGGCTAAACCTAACCGCTGTACCAATGGGCCATTCACCCGGACGGACACCAGGTCGCATCGATCAGGACGCTCTCCAAGCGCTTGACCATGTCCACATATCCTGAGATTTTTACGGTCAAAACCTGTCATTCCCTCTGTTGCGCAATTGCAGGAAAATTAGCTTCCAAATGCAACTTGAGTAATTATGACAAATATCAACAAATCAGAGTTCATGTCAGCCGCAAAGAAACACTCAGCACTCAATAGATTGTTCACATTGTGGTCTTTTCATGTCTCTTCATAAGAAATTGAGGGCACTGATTCATAATGATCCTCCTCAGTTCCAAGCTCTCACCACCAGGAAATTGCCAGTTCAGTGGGTCGACCTCAAACCTCAGCGACCCCACGAAGCGAAGATTTACACGCCAGTCCCGAAGCCAGGGGACGCGGGAGCCGGTTACGGTTGCTGAGGTCACAGCTCTTGAAACAGATCTGGATGTCTTTTCTTCATCTGAAAGGGATTGAAAGGGCAGAAAGAAGCAAACAAAACCTAAAAAGGTCCATGATGCAGTGATGAATAGTGATACGTGTCCGAAATAGGAAAAGATAGTGTCTTCAATCATCTTCAACCCACACAAGTAGCCATTGAATACGTTTCAGATTGAAAGAAAAACACATTAACATTAACATGCTACAAGTATCAGCACATTTTCACTCTAGAAACTGCGACATCGCAAACGCCATAGAGCACCCTTAAGCGACACTGGATATATGATATGTTTCAAGGTGCACTGTTGGTGCAGCTTGCCAACATTTTCCGACATGTTGATACCAGCCTCCTGGAAAATCATGTAAGTCTAACAAAACGAAAATCATGCGACTATGCATCATATTGAAGAAACAGCTCTGAGCACCTCGTTCCAAGGAGGCACATCGTCCTCACATTCCACGTCCCACCAGCCAACTCCAAGCACACCCTGGCGGATCTTGAGATGTCGATAGCTCGATGATGCTCGATGAAGCAAGAAGCGCACAAGCTCGTTTGGCACAAGATACAAATGATACAATCAAACGACAATCGAAACAGGGTTCTCGCATATTCTCGAGTAAGGTAGAGTAAGTAGAAAGAAATCCATCTCGTGCAGTTGACTCCACACAAGATCCCTGAACCTGCGAGCGATTATTTCCATCCTGTTCCATCCCGCCCATCACCAAGCCTTGTCTATGGGATTCAAGGCCTTGGCTACAATCTTCAGTCGTGGACAACGATTGCAAGATTCCCCCCCTTTTGCCATCAGGAGGGTGGCCTAGCGACTGCCTGGTGTACAATTGGGAAGTTCAGGATGTGTCCAACATAGAAGCCAAAAACTGACACATACACCGCAAACAAAGCCATTCTATATTCCAAAGTCAGCATTCGGATTCTGACTGGTGCAGGTTTCTGACCTGTCATGGACATGGGCCCAGTGATAAACCATGCCACTCTCAAATGAATAGCCAGCTGAGCTGCTGATTGCTGATCTGGTTGTAGGTCTACGCAAAGTGCCTCGGATAGTTCGACCACTGTTGTCAAACCTTCCAGTTTGGCAAATCACGGGTTAGCAACTATCCAAGTTCAAGTGATTTCAAATTTTAAAAAAGTCAAGTGGGTTTTTGAAGTCGTGTCCTCGGCAATCTGCCAAACTCCGTGGGCAGATGTAAACTGTTGCCACTTCTGGACTTCACTAATTACAATAGCAGCAACCATGGCCATCTGGTCAATCCAATTGGTTGTTTAAGAGGGGTTCCCACATATATAATTGCTCATGATTCCCAAAATATATGGAGATTATAACCCCCGAACCAATCATCAACCAACGATCATTCATCCACAATATATTATAACATCTATATATATATCCATGTTGAATGGTCACAATCCTTTTTTATGATGCACAAAAGCCCATTCTGAATCACAAGACATTTATATATATATATATCATTTACCCTCTGGTAAACTAACAGTTTGCTATGGAAAGATCCACTATTTTCTAGCTGGGTAAATCCACTATTTCTATGGCCATTTTCAATAGCTTTTTGTATGTTTACCAGAGGGTATCAACTATACATCCCTAATGATGGTTGAATCAGTTGAATCCCGGCGCGGCACCAAGATACTGAGGAGACAGCACGCGGCATCGTGCTGGTGAAGACCTGTGTGGCCTCCTGCAATGCAGCAAATGTACATACATACATATTTATATTGTATGATGTGTATTGATATGTATTGTATAATATATGTATCTATACATAATGTAGTAATAAATACATATATATATATATATACATGTGATATGTCATATGTATGTATATATATAATATATATATGCATGCTCAGCTTATCTATATAGGGGATTTCTTAAGATGATGGTACCCGAGAAATTCCCAAGAACCCTGTTTTTGGGGTCCCATTTTCAGAGACCGCCATATAAAATCATATAAATAGTGTGTGAATGTATCTAGAGATGACTATCAACGTGCCTGCATTGAACGTATGTAGGTGTCATCAACAACATATGATTCTGATAATAGTCGCATGTTGTCTCCAAGAATACCTTTTACCTCACTGGACGTTTACACTTCCAATCGCACTACAAATAATCACTGGCATCTTCACGTAGTCACTTACTGAGATCACACTTGCTAAGATCAAAGAATTTCAATAGAACGTCACGTGTCTGTCTAACTGACAAAATTGAGTGACTGCTTCTTTAAATCGATGCATCAGCCAAACCAATCCAAACCACGCAAGCAGCCTAGCGACCAGACAAGAAATCAACCTATCAAGCACTCAATTCCACTACGCGACCTCTGACACACATCTCACTATTTTTCCTAAGGTGTCTCAAGCACACGCCGAAGTGTTTCGGCAGTTCTTTGCGACTCAGTCATAGCGTCTGAAGGCCTTGTGGGCTTGCTTCTGTTGGCTGGACACTCCAGGTTGTCGAGAAAAACGGAATATTGGTTAAAACATTATTGGCTAATGTAAACCTCCGGCTAGCCAATATTTCCAGCCTTCTAAAGCATCATGAAACTTTGCTTTGACTCCAAGCGCATAAAATACCTGTGATTTGGGTTGCATCTCGAGGCAGAGCATGCCAAGAAATGTATGTACTGCATCGGGTACAGTACCAAGCAACCAAGTCGAAGCAATGCAATGGATGCGGGCATCCAGCTTTCACAGCTGTCATAGAGAAATACAAAACAGACATGCAGCACGGAATTCTTATTAGTTAAACATGATTGTTCTAAAATCACCACTTTGGCCAGGCCACGCCAATTCTTCGCGTATGAGCAGTACAGCTTCTTTATAAGCTAAAGCACACAGGTACCTTGGAGCTCAGTGGTCTTCTGTCGATGGATGGACAAATGTTCAGCAATTTCAGGGAGTGTTCCATGAATTCCTCGACACGAAACATATATCAATTGATGTTGATTGTACTATATATATATTGTGTATATATATATTGTATATATATATATATATGTATGTACATATCAAGATATGTATATATATGTATATCCTCCTGTGCAAATAAAGATCAACTGCCACTCAGCGACTCGCTCATCTTGACTCGAACCACCGTGGAGTTCCAAAATCCAAGTCTCCTCTCATGGCTGACGCATCTACCTTTCAACTGGAACTCAAGGGTCATATGCGTTTGTCCAAAAATAGGCTATACTACCCCAAAAAAACAATTCAATGGGAACATCATAACAAAAATATTGGATTTCTTGGAGTACCATATTTCAAACAAACCCACATATCATCTCCAATTCCTATTAACTGGATATATTTGTATATAAAGGCCTCCTCACACGTTCCGTGCTCTGCTGATTTCATGATTTCATATCATTCACAAGCCAAGGCATGCAAGAAGTGTCTTGCATCACCCTGGACATATTTCACTTGAGACCTTAAACGTCTGGTACGCCAATAAGTTTGCACTGTATATGCAGCCATATGGGTTGCTGGAGGATGGCACACCATACAAATACAGGTTCATAACTTTTAAATGACATACATGTAATACAAATATCATACATATAATAAATACGTAGATACACATATACACATATACACAAATACATACATATATATATATATACATACATTACATTACATTACATTACATTACATTACATTACATTACATTACATTACATTACATTACATTACATTACATACAGTTACAAATACAAAAATACATGTATAATTGTATATATACATATATATATATATATACAGATTATATACCGAATATATACAGACTATATACAGTATCATATTTTAAGATTTTATTAATGTGTACATCTGCGCCCTTCTCCTGGGATCACTGAGATCGGCCTCACTGGCCGCTTCCACTAGCTCAAGGCGCTTCGCCCGGCCTGCCGTGGCATGGTGGTCTAACCATGATTTCTATGGATTTTCTACAATCAACACTGGTATCTAGGTAGAAATGTTGTGTTTGTCTATGGATTTAAATGGATTTCAAAGGATTTGAATCTATTTCCTTGGATAAAGCATTTTAATCATATCCTAGTATATCCTTTTTTTTCGGTAATTCGACAGATGTCTTGAGATGTCTTGAGATGTCTTGAGGTATTTGTGACTTTAGCATGGGGTCAAACATATGGGGTACCCAACAACCCATCAATCGCTGCAAGGACGAGCGATGCGCTGGCCTAGCGTCTGCAAGCGTGCAGCAAACCTCAGGTACGTTGTTGCTTTGCTGCAAAAACTGACATCCACTTAAATCCATTGAACTATGGCTAAATCAATGTGCATATATATGTATATATGTATATATGTATATATGTATATATGTATATATGTATATATGTATATATGTATATGTGAACAATTTTAATCCTTGTTCCGGATATCTGGTGGTAGATGTTGGAGTCCCTAACGAGTTAGTAGCCGGAATCCCGGCAGCATTGCTGGGCAGCGCGAACGCCGTTTTCCCTTGCGACTTGAGCCAGATATTTGGCGTCATGTCAGGCCTACTCCACATGCTTATACATGTGTGCAGTACCGTTTAGTTCCCTTTAGCACCCCCCATGCCTACGGTGGCTTCGCACCGCAGGCACGAGAGTGGGAACTTTGAATTATATTGTTTGTGGTGCACGAATTACGCCTTTGTACGCGCAAACCATTCGGCTCCCCCTTCACCCACACCCGACGAGCGTAGTGGATCCGGGGTTGCCTACTCTATGGCATGCAATGCGTCAGCGCAAGTTCGAGCTGTACAACGCAAATTATCACTAGCTTGCAGCTACTCTACGATTACGGCTTCGCAAGTCACTCCATCGACGACGGAAGTTGACTGCTCCACCAAGAATAGCAATTGACGCTAACTAGTGAATTCACGTGCACATTGCTAAAAAGAAAATCGTGCAGATTGGGAATAGTGAGAACATGGAACCTAAGCGAATTAGTCTACTGCCTCGCTCAGAGTCCTCTCAATTGGTCTTTTCCTGATCATCTGTTCACAAAGACGATAGACATCTTATAGTCCAGTGATCACTTGGATGGACAGAGGTGGTTGATCTACTCCTCACGGCGGACTTTCTTCCACTGAGGTGTCGTTTGAGATTTCTCCCAACCTGCCGCACGTTTCGGAGCAGCTTTCGGCGATGCTGGTTTCGCAGGTGGTGCTTTAGGTGGTTCATAAGACTTCGGCATGGCCTTAGCCTTTGGTGCACTGGCCGATGATGACGCTGAACCAGTATCTTCAGGTTTCTGTGAAGGCTGTGTTGATGATCTGGCTTTCGCGTCCGCAGCGGCACGCTTGGTGCTGGCACTGTCCCCGACTGCTTTGAATACTTTACCTACCACTTCGTCCCCCAGGTTCGGAGCCATCTTTATTTTCATTTCGGACTTTCCCCTCATCGCCTCGGACTCAGCAAATTGAATGGCGTAAGCATTCTTGCCGATGAAGTTGCGAGGTAATGGAATACCGCATTGTTGGGCAGCAAAGAGTAGTTCCACCCTTTGTTCCTTTTTTTCTCTGACTCAGATATACCGAGAAAGCTGGGAGTTCAATGCAGTTGGGGAAGCCGTGGCTCCCGGAACGAAAGAAGGTGTATGATTCATATTCGGGAAAGGTTCCCTTCATCAATCGTCGGAGGAAGTTGCTGATGGTCACCCTCATCTCCTGCTTCTCCTTTGCATCTCCCTGCATCTTCGTCATTGGCATGAGGAAACCTAAGGACTCGGGAGTGTACCCGGCACATATGAGAAACTCCATCATCTTTTCGTAAACTTTCACAGTTTTGATGACAGGCATCATCATGTTTCTCGGCCGCCCAGAGTACATCAATTCTCCCTCTGACCATGAGTTCGTCTTGCCTTTCTCCTGAAAGAGTGCGTCCAATTCCTGCTCAGTCGGCCGCTTGAGTTTGCCATCCTGATCTTCGCCCGTGTAGGGGCAGAAGTCGTCCAGGTCCAGTCGGACTCGCTTGGTGGCCGTCATCAACGCATAGTATTCCTCTGGGGTCAAAGTGACTCTCTGGTTGTAGTAGAGTCTGAACATTGCGATGATCTTTGACATCACGGCATTGTCGTACAAGTGAGCCGCGGCCTCGGAGACATCATTGTTTACTAGTCCATCTCCTGGCAAACCCTTGCTTCCAGGCACAAGATTCTTGGTCCATACTGGCAGTTCTTCTGAAGGCTCTTTCTCAGGTTCGACGTTCATGTCATCATCGTCGTCCTCCTCAACAATCTCGTCGTCTTCCTGCTGAGTCTCTTCCTCCTGAGCCATTTCCTCATCATCGCCTTCGTTGTAGTCGACTTCGTCAGGATTGAAGCCATAATCGTTGGATTCAGGTACGTTTTCCTGTGCTTGGTGGACCGTATCCTCGAACAACGATTCTTCCTGTCGGCGAACCTCCTCGTCGAGCTCTTTCTTTGTGGCTTCGTCTTCATCGTCTTCAGGAGCTTGTAACCTATAAGGTCGAATTCCACAGCTCTCAAGCTCTGTCCAGCATCCTAGACATACTGCCAATTTCGTTGGCGTCTCATTGAGGCAATGAGGGCAATGACGGCAACCTGAAGTTTCCACCCTCTTGCGCTCGACGATGTAGTCGATCAGCTTGATGCGGGCGAGGTATTGTTCTTGTCCACCAGCTTCAATGAGATTGTTCCTGAACTGGTGTACGACGTTCATTGCATCCATGGTGATCTCGTCATACGGTTGCTTTTCGGCGTCGATGCATAGACTTGCGATCCTCAGAATGGACTCCTTGGTGGCGACAGTTCTTGACTTGATAGTGCCTGACCGGACTACCTGGTCGTCGCCCGACGGAACGAACAACCGGAGCCATGTCTTGTTGTTTTGATCCTTTGGATCTTGAATCCATCCTCCTCTGATCGCTGAGAACGGGATGATCTTTGGCGAAACGATCTGTCCCGAATCCGTCAATCGACCACGTACTCCACCATCAGGGTCTCGGTCGGGATGTAGAGGCAGATGTAGTCCCCTTTTCGTGTGTCAACGCTCTTCGTGATAGTCCATGAGCGATGATCCCACGGCACGTATGGATTGAAGAACGTGAACATACGATGACCCTCCCCAAGACCTCCAGGAATCAGTCCTTCCCTCCAAATGCTTCGAAGGTTGGTCTTCTTCGTGATGTGGAAGCAAACCGGCATTGACATGATGGTATTGGGCGCAATCGGATGCGAGAGCAAGGATGACATCAATAAGACGTCGTCTCTGGAGGATCCCTCCTTGTGCCCTGTTGGAGCGCGAACTGCAACTGGATAGAGCAATAGCCCCTCGTCAGGAATAGGCGTGTCCGCGTTGACATTGTTGTCAATGCACGTCAGGCTGCTGCGATCAATGTCCTTGTTGATCCCGAACGCCAAGATTTGTTCACGTACACGACGTCCATATCGGGCACAGTGGAACATGATTTTGAACAGCAACGCCATGCGGTTGCTCGCCTCTTTCACGTTCCATGCATTTCGATCGTTTGCTCTCCCTTTGGGGGCGAGGAACACATGCGGCCAACGCTGGTGTTCATGTCTCCAGATTGACTCACACTTGAGTACATCCTCCATGGGTACCCAGCCAGCATCGTCACAAACCAAGCTTTGTGATTCTGAGGCTTTCCCCACATTGTGTCGTAGGATCCTGTTCAGTGCGATGCTCACCTTGTCCTCATAGCTGTCGAGCCGATTACCGGTTTCGAAGCGATAGTTTGCCGCATACTCCACACCGCCAAAGTAGAAGCAGTTGAAGAAGTGGGCTCCCGTCGTGGGGATGATTTTCAAGAAACCATCTCGCGGCGCTTCGATCCGTTTGTAGAAGGGTTTTCTGATGTTGTTGTCGGAGTAGTTTGCGAGGAACTCCGGTACGTACCAAGTGTCACCTCCTCCCCTGACAATAGCGTCCCGGACCACTTCATTGAGATCAACGACATTTTGGGGTCCCAGCTTGGTAACATCACGCCCTTCAATACAAAACCTACCATATTCATCCAGGTCTCCGACTTCGGACATAGTCCTGATGTTGTCGTACCACTGGTATTCACCAAACCTTGGTTTTGTGGGCTCATCCGTTTGCCCTGACCCTTCCGTAGAACCTGATCCGTCCTTTCTGTGCTCAGGTGGTTCCATCTCGACGTCATCAGATGTGGGACTATCAGCCTCGAGCGACGCCCGGACGGCCTTTAGCACCTTTCTGACTTCATCCTTCTTCTCATTCTCGCATTCGAGATGACCATGTTTGGTGCTACCACAGTACAAACACACATTGACATCCTCAGAGACAGTGAAGAGTTTTCCCAACGCATCCAGGAGTTGTTGTTTTCCGGAAATCTCTGAGTCCCTAACCACATCAGTAGGGTCGTTTGCTGGCTCATCAGCTTCCTCCTCCCCAGGGTGAGTCGGCGACTCGTCACCTGGCTTGGCATCAGCATCAGCGCCCATGTTGGCATCGTCCCCTGTGACCTGGTGCTTTCTTCGGAACTGAGAGATGACCTGATCCTTCTCCCACTCCGTGAGACAGTTGAAGTCACTCAACGTTTCATACCCAGGAATTGCGTGGATGACCTTCATGACCTTTTCGGCTTCTGCAGTCTGCAGGGTGCAGTCGAAAGAGCCTCGTCTCTTGTCGTTGATGGTGCTTGTAGTTCTGGAAGTTGATGTGAATTGGGCCAATGCCTTCTCCAAGCCGTTGAGGAATTCGGCAGGGTCAACGCTGGCATTGAATACATTCACAACCCCTTTTGCCATGTTTGCCACATCCAAGACACCAAGCCAAAACTCGATGATGTCCCCAGTCTTCTCGGCTGATGCACGGGAGAATCCGAAGATTTCGTTCCTTTCCTTCACCTCAGGAACAGCGACCTGCTCGAAGAAGTCCTTGTACGCGACATTCCCGCAATCTTTCGTGACCCTGAAAACCAGGATCCACTTCTTCGCGACCTCATCGTAGATTCTTTCGCGGTAGATGCTGAATTGTTTGCCGCGTCCATTCCGGAAGATCTCCAGAGCTTGTCTCTTCGATACCCTGACTCCCCCCATGTGCGAAACAGACTTCATCAAGTGCTCCCCGTACGGCAATAAAGTGTTTGAGATCAAAGAAGATGCCGTGAAAGTAAGCCATGCCTGAAATCCTTGGTTGATATCGACCACGTCGATGCCACACTCCTCAAATGCGACCTTCAATCTAGCCGCCAGGAGCAAGACGGATTTCCT